CTGGCTGTATTCCTTCAGATATATGCCCAGGAGTGGTGTTGATGGATAGTATGGCAGGTCCATTTTTAGTTTTTTGAGGAACCTCAATACTGCTTTCCATAGTGGTTGCACTAATTTAATTCCCACCAACAGTGGGAATTTTTTCCTCACACTCGCACCAGCCTTAGTTATTACTGACAGCCATTCTGGCTGGCGTGAGGTGAAATCTCAATGCCATTTTGATTTGCATTTCCTTTATGGTTGATGTTGAACATTCCTTCTTATGTTTATTGGCCATTTGTATTCTTCTTCTGAGAACTGTCTGTTGTTTGCTCATTTACTCAATGAGTTGTTAATTTTTTGCAGGGTTAGTTTTTTTTTTAGCTCTGTGTAAATTATGATTATTAATCTAATCCCTTGTCAGACGTATAGCTGGCAAAGATTTTTCTCGCATTCTGTGAGCTGTCTCTTTAGTCTAGTGACTATTTCCTTTGTCGTGCAGAATCTTTTTAGTTTGAGGGAGTCCCATTTGTCATTCCTTTCTCTTAATTACTGAGCTATTAGAGTTCTAGTCAAAAAAGTTATTATCTACAGGCAAGAAGAAATTTATAACACTGCCAACTACAGGAGGTTTAACAGTTGATCTGCTTCAATCTGCTTTTTAAGATGTCAGGCTGGCAGAGTGGCTCAAGCAGTAGAAGTACCTGCCTAGTTCAAACGCCAAGGCTACCAAAAAAAAAAAAAAAAAAAGAGAAGATTCTACATTGTTTCTTTAGAATGAGAGTTTGTGTACAAAGATATTTGTATTCACTTTCTCTAAAAATCCCAGTAAAAGTGTCAAAACTAAAAAAAAATGTATCATAAGGGAGTTATATCTATAATATATATTTAAAACTACATATACACAAGCTCATATATATATATGCACACACACACACACACACACAATTTGGCTTAAAAGGACAAAGGATAATGAACAGATGCTTTACAAAAGGTATTTACAACATACAGAAAGCTGTTCCACACCTTTAAACTTCAAAGAAATACAAACAGACACCAAACGAGATAGCAGCACAAATTCACCAGAACACCAAACATGAAAAGGTGGATGGCACGGAGGGTTAGCAAGAACGCAGAGCACCTGGGTCTCCCACACTTGGAGCCACTTTGGAAAACAGGGAGCCACTGTAAGAGCTAATCATATCCTGGACAGGGGGTGCAGCTCAGTGCCAGCTGCTTATTTAGCATGCCCATGACCCCAGCACTGCAAAAAAAACTGTTAGTCATAAACTTACCATGTGATCCCATAATCTCACTCTTAGATTTATCAAAAAGGAATGAAAATATATGTCCATACTTGTACGCACTGTTAATAACAACTTTATTCACAACAGCCACAAATTGTAGACAACTGTCTATCATCTAGTGGATGAACAAATAAAATTGTGGCATAATTGGACAATGAACTACTACTCAGCAATAAAAAGGACTACTGACAATTCAACAGCATAGATGAAACTCGTAAGCATCACACTAAAGGGTCTTGTGATATGTGTGATACCATTTTAATGAAATTCTGGAAAAGGTAAGTTAAAAAGTAGATCAATGACTGATAAAAGCTGGAATTTGGGGAGAGGTCGAATACAAAAGAACATGAGAGAAACTTGGGGGGTGATGGAAATTTTGATTGTGGTAGTATTAATAAAATTACATTACAGCTCCATGTGACATGAACAGTGGTGAAAGGGTGCACTGGTGCTGTAGTAATGGAAAGATGACAACTCTTCAGATACAGTGATGGAGACCTCAGTGAAGCCTTTAGGGGGACGATGAAACCCTACCAAGGGAGGTAAATTCCCAAAGGACCCTGGGGCAGGGAGGCTATGCTGACTGGGAGGGATAAGAAGGGACATTTTTTGGTTTATATAACCTGCCACCCTGTTGGAAACAACCTGGGAAATGAGTTGCAAGGACACACACCTGATTTCCCAGCAGGACTTTTCTGCTGTAATTCAATACTGTAATTTCTCAAAAACACAAAACCAAAAAAAAAAAAAAAAAAAAGTGCCTTCCTTCAGGCACTTCAGGATGTGCAAAAAACATGGCATCAGAAGTACAAAAATCTCCCGTGTAAATTCCTAGAGGTAGAAAAAAAAAACCTCTACCCTCTTGCCTACTCAGTCAAATCAAGCAGAAACAAAAGAAAGGAAAAGCAGCACAGTAAGACCATTGAAAGTCACCTGTCACTACAGGCACAAGAAAATCATATACAAACACACAGTGACCTTCCATTCTGCACATCTGGAAGTGGCTCAGGGTCCCTCAGTTGGTTTTGATTTCAGTTCATTGAGCAGTGGTAGACATCTGCTGGCTTTAGCTGACAGCTCCCAGAAGGAAAACCCAGCCCATTGGTTCTCTAGGCCTTTTCCTCCTTCCAGGCCTGTCACATGTGTAATTATGTCATTAGACACACTGATTTTCCATGTGGGGAGCAATTTCGGCACCCTCTTCCATTGAAATGACTGCCCAGGGGCACAGGAATGCAATAAACAGAATGCTGAACGTATAGTGAGACCAGGCACTAGCTGGGAAAACTTTTTTTTTTTTTTTGTGGTACTGGGGCTTGAACTCAGGGCCTTCACCTTGAGCCACTCCACCAGTCCTATTTTTGTGAAGGGTTTTTATCCAGATAAGGTTTCGCAATCTGTTTATCTGGGCTGGCTTCGAATTGAGATCCTCCTGATCTCTGCCTCCTGAGTAGCTAGGATTACAGGCGTGAGCCGCTGGTGCCCAGGTAGCTGGGAAAACTCTTAATGCACATAATTCAGCAAACAGCTTTCCACCCACTTTTAGATCTCACCTCCAGTCTCCTCAATCACCTTACTCTCTCTCTGCCTGCATCGGGAAGAACAGGATCTCTTGCTTGTGTTCATATACAAATTTCTATAAGGAACAGCCCACCACTTCTGGGTAGTTACCGCAAAAAGGTGGAGTCACAATGGGCCAGGAAGGGCTGCTTTCCAGTTTGCTCACACACAGGGAAGGACCTCCCAGGGAAAAATGTGAGTAACAGGTCATCCATCAAGCACTCTGACGTGGTAAGTAACGCCATCTGGTGGAATCAGCAGAGCATTGCTGAGTCCAAAGTCAATCAAGCTTAATAAAAAAAAAAAATAGAAATTTAACTCCTGGAGTAGTGGGAAAAATACTCTGGTACTATAATACATTATATTAATTCTGGAAAAGAAAGGCCTCAGCTGATTTGCTCACATATTAAATTTATAAATTAATATGCACCTTATTAATGACATTCTAATTAACTGATGTGGTATCCCCAGCCACCTTAATATGTCTAATTACATTCTACAAATTTAGTAGAGCTTACTGTAGCTTTTCTCTAAGGACGTTTAAGTTCTGTGAGTTTATATCATCTATGATTGTGGCACATTTGTTTCTGATCAGACATGGCTATAGATGGCCAACTTTAATAAAGGTGACTTTAAGAAAGTTATTCATAGCCAGCACTGGTGGCTCACGCCTGTAATCCTAGCTAATCAGGACGCAGAGGATCAAGGTTGGAAGACAGCCCCCGGCAAGTACTTCGAGAGACCCTATCTCAAAAAACTTATCATGAAAAAGGGATGGTGGAGTGGCTCAAGGCGTAGGTCCTGAGTTCAAACCCCAATACTGCAAAATAAATAAATAAATATATAAATAAAAAGTTATTAGTTCAACAAATAGGTCTTTTTGTTTTGTTTTATATGTTTGTTTCCTGTGGTACTGTACTTGAGTCTTGCACTTCTAGGTGGCCTCTTGAGCCATTCCCACAGCACATTTTGCTCTAGGTATTTTTCCAATATGGTTTCGCTTTTACTGGACCTCAGTTGTACTATTCATGCTTCCATGTAGCTAGGATGACGGGCGTGCACCAACATGCCCATTTACTAGTTGAAATGGGGGGGGTCTCACAGACTTTGTCCCCGGGCTGGTCTGGAACCACACGATCCTCCTGAGTAGCTAGGATCATAGGCATAAGCCACTGGCACCCAGATAACAATTATTAAATATAATGTTCCATGTACAGTTCTAAGCTCTGGCTTATCACAAGATCCCTACTCATGGGGTTTAGAGACTAGCAAGGGTGGGAGTGGCCAAGAAACAACTAAAAATGTTAATAGGATAAGGTCAGAGTGAAGGGAATTTTAACCAGTAATGTGAGAAGGAGGGAGTGGGAAATAGGGTCCTCAGATGACTCTTGGAGGTGATATTTGAGATCCAAAAAGGAGCCAGTTTTCTCATGATGAAATTTGTTTTTAAAAACAACCATTTCAGAACATATCCCCCCATGAATCTTTTTTAAAACTCTTTTGGGACTCTTCTTTGGTTTCTGCCTTTGGAGACAATATATGAACCCCATTAGTTAATGAAAACAGTCTTATTACTTCTTCCTTTGACATCTTTAGGATGCTTCTGAAAGTTAATCAGGTCTCAAGGTATAAATATTTACCTAACATTTTGGCGGATGAAGTTCTGAAGAGTCCGGCACTCTGTGGGATCCTTTGTTCTTGTTCAATAGTGTCTGCAATTGAGCTGTTCCTTTGCTGTGAAGGTCCTAGGTTCCTCCTTCTGGATAATGATCTAGAAAACAGGAGTGAAAATAACATTCAGCTAATAAAGGCAGGAGACACTGGAAGGATAGTACATGCATTTTATGTGGAAAAATGGGTATGTCCTTTTCACTTTTAAAAGATATATAGAAGAGTTCAAAGGAGGTCTCCAGAGGAGGCTGTGCCAGAGAGCACCAAATTCCCAAGTCTATGTGCAATGTCAAAATGTGTGAGATTAATTAAATATTTGCTTTAAACTTTCTACTCTGTAGAAAAGAGGGCAGGGGGTGTAGCTCAGTGGTAGAGAGCTTGCTTCGTATGCACAAGTTCTCCTGGATCCAATTCCCAGCCCCACCACCACCAAAAAAAGGTAATTTCTGTACATTAGGCATGGCAATAAATCTGGCTTGACATGAATGCGGCTGTTCTCACGTCTTCCTGGAGACTACCAAAAATGTTTAAACTGACCCCAGAATGGAAATAAAATTACAACTTAGGGATGTCAAATTCAATGCATACTAAACACTTATTTCCAACTAAATGTGTTATTTATTTATTTTTAGTGGGCTGATACTGGGATTTAAACTTGGGGCCATGCACTTACTAGGCAAGTGCTCTACCACTTGAGCCACTCCCAGCCCTTTTTTACTTTGTTTTTTAGTTCTGATCTGGTGTTTCTGCCTGGTCTAGCCTTGGACTGTGGTCCTTCTACCTATGCCTCTCATGTTGCTGAGATCACAGGCCACCACAGAGCTTTAAATGTTCATTTCTTTCCATCTAGCTTAGAAATACATTTTAAATAACTTTTCTTCATTAGCTGGGAAATCCAAATGCCCAACTTAATAGGCTTGCTCTAAACTAAATTTTGTCTTGTTTTTCAGGGTAAGTTTAGTTTTTTTCTGATGTTACCATCACATTTATTCAGTGTCATAAATGGGAAAACGATTTACAATACCATACTATCACGAATCATGAACAGATTCCATTACTTAGGAGGAATACAATGCTGTGCCCATTGAACTCACTACTTCTGTGACTATTCCATTTATTTTACTGTGTTCTTTGCAGCAGAACTAGAGCTGGTACTAATTTTAGAATTAAATCTTGCCACTTAAAAGGAACTTTCACACTCTTAAGAACCAAATTCTCCTTTCTAGTACACTTGTGGTTTGCAATTATGATACTTACCTTCTTACCTCCAATTAGCTGAGGTGCAATTTACAAGTCACAGAAATCTGTTCAGCCCTCTTAAGCCTACAGCATGATTTAACCCTGAAAATCCTGCTCAGTAATCCCAAAACCAGCGTAAAACATTGTAAAGCATACAAAAAGTTAAACCAAAATATCATGTAACCTTTTTAATAATTGCAAATATATTTATTACAACTTACAGATTAGTCAAGTTATATACACAAATAGAATCTTAGCTATAAAATTCCAACACAGTTACATTTAAATCAATGGGTCCAAAGAAGCCAATTAGAAGTCTTCTAGTCCCCTAACTTCACTTTTCTTAAATTATAAAAAAATAAAATCTGATAGTTTTGATTTCAAGTTACAGATGAATACACATTTTATCCCTCAGAAATGGAAATTTTTGCCTGCCTGTACAAAGTCTTTCTTTCACATGCTACATTGACACTTAAAGCACCATTACAAGACTTTAAGGTATAAAATGTTCAGTTAAAACCTCCATGGATTTTCTTTCTAAGATTGGAAGCACGGTTTATTTTAACATCTAGGATTGGAGCCAGTGCTGGTGGCTCACTTCTGTAATCCTAGATACTCAGAAGACAGAAATCAGAAGCAGCAAAGTTTGAAGCCAGCCTGGGCAAATAGTTCCAAGAGGCCCTGTCTCGAAAAACCCTTCACAAAAATAGGGCTGGTGGAATGGCTCAAGGTGAAGGCCTTGAGTTCAAGCCCCAGTACTGCAAAAAAAAAAAGAAAAAAAACCATCTAGGATTGGGATGAACTGACAAGTATTTTTTTTCTCCATCAGACCAATTTTGTTGTTGAGATAAGGTCTTACCACATAGCTCAGGCTGGCTTGAAGATGCTCCTGACTCAGCCTCCTAAGTACTGAGTTTATAGACATGTGCCACCACGCTCAGTTTCAGTCCCATTTTAAAATGGTCCCTTTCGTCCTTCTCATCTTTATCTGATCACTTTTAAAGAGGGTAGTATATAGGAGAATTCTTAACCAAGCTTTTATTCACTTGGTAGCTAGTCTCCAGGGAGCAATTTTCAAAAGTCTAGTGACTGTAAAGATGTCCTGTTATTTTCAACTTTGCAGATATGCCAGATTTCACAAACACAGCCTCAGTCTCTGAAATAAAATTGCATGCTTCAATCTTGTTTTAAAACAACTATGCACTGTCACAGGCTTCTTCCTAAGCAAATGATGCTGCTTTCCAACTGACCAAGGTTGAAAACTAGCCTGTTTTTATGGTATTACATAAGATAATGCAAAGGTACTATCTGGGATTACCTAAAGTGGAGGGGCACAGAATATAGAAAAAGGGTTCTGCAAAAATTTGACCAACTTTTATAGTGTTGCACTCTCATTGTGAGTATAAACAAATATATATATATATATATATATACACATATATATATAAAAAACACTGGAGATAGACTTTAGAGCAAACCAGATGGAAATAAAGTAACCAGGTAGATAATAAACTGAGGTAGTAACCCTGCAAGCACTTCTGAAAAACTTCATCCTACACTGAAATAAGCTCAAAATTAAGTGGTCACCTACTCCATGTATGCTTTCCATTACCTGTAACAGGCAGTACATGGAGTAAACTGACCATTACAAGAGTTGGTGAACACTACCCCAACCTCACAGATGCACACCATGTAAAGCCAAGTAAACAAACCAAGCATAACCAATCAATACAAAGACTTCGATTCAACAGTAAACTTTGGGCTAAGGATATTAAAACTGCTAGTTGTTAAATGTATAGTTTCTCCTTTCCCGAAAGTAGAGGCCTGGCCATTGCTTTTCTCATTATCAGAACAGAACACAGTAAACCTGGACATTGACTGAAGATTCTATTTTACATTTTACACTTGAAATTCAGATTTCAAGTTCAGTGTCACCCTGACAGACTTAAGAAGTGACAATGCTGAGGCATGATACTAGTAACACTGGTTTCCTGTTGAGCACATATATACCACAAAACCAGATTTCTGAGGTGTCTTCTATCTTCCTCCTAAGGTAATTCTAGGCATTTAAATTTAAAAAATAAACACCTATGATGCAACAATTACTTTCTAATCTTTTACAATGATTTCTTTCGACCCGCTGAAAAATATAAAGAACCACATTCAACTGGGAACTACGATAACATACAGAAACCTCTCTGAAGAGCAGTTTGCACGGAAATCAAATGTATTAGACGTTACAGTTTGGCAGACAGATGTAGCTTTCCCAAAGTTGCAGAGTGTACTGCATGCGAAGGTTTTGTGGCAGTCCTTGGAAAATCTTAAGAACTTGTAGAAAAAACCCACCACACCTTTTCAACTAAAGTCATTTTCAAAAGAAAAATAAAAAGTGGCACAATATAATGTATTTTAAGTTGATAACATATACAAGATTATTTTTTAGCCTTAACGTAGACAGGCCAAATCAAGGAAATAAAAAAATACAAAAAAGCATAAAAGCCCATTAATTTCAGAATATTGAAAAAAAAAAAAAGCCCCAAAATGCTGGACAAATATATATATAATTTAAACTGTAGGTGAAAATGGGCTATAAGTCCTGTAAATACTGTTCCCAAGAAAAGAAGTTTTGAAAGTGCAAAATTAGAACTAAAAGTGTCCCCCTTTCACCTGAAGCAAGTAAAGGACATCCAACTAAATCAAAAAAGGGAAGGTTAAAAATCACAGATCCTATTAAAAAACAAAACAAAACAAAACAGATCCTTCATTATCAGGGCTGACTTCCTGCCTGGATGTTTCTAATGGGATATACTGCCACCCCCACCCCCCAAAAAAATTTAAACTAGATCACAGAATACAAATTGTATCTCCTCTTTAAAGAAAAAAAATAGTCAAAGGACAGCTGCCAATATTTGCTCTTCTTTAGGAAAAAACCTCTTAAGTAGGAGGTAATATATGCTAGGGCTACAGTCTGACAGCTCATCTTAGCATTGTTTGAAAACAGTAAGTCCTTTGAAGTAGTCCTGGAGTCTATTAAACATTCTCTCTCTGTGCTCAAATGTCAAGCAATATCCAATGGCATCTTCTGTTTCTTGAATTCGTTTCTGGAATCTGCATCCATCCCTTGCAAATTCTTCCCACGGTCCTTTGCGATCCTCATCGCCACTTATATAATACTCAGTAACTTCTTCAAGAAAGGTTACCTGTAAAGACAAAGTCTAGTTTTAACAACTTTTTAGGATCTTATAATTAGTATTGAGGTCAACAGCTCTTTGTATTATTAATTCTTTCTTAACACCAACTATCTTACAATAATCTTTGTTCACAAGTGTATCTGAAATTTAAAAAAATTCTAAATAGATGGTATTTGGATAAAACAATGAATAAAGGCCACCTAAAACTTTCATCTATTTACCTGTATCTATCTGTCTACATATATTTGGACATGCAGTCTCCCCCACCCCAGCTTATGGTGCTAATAAAATGAATCCAGATGGAGAATTTTCCTGCTATTACTAATCCCTGTTATTCTTTAATCTTTTGGGAAATACAGTTCTGTGATATAGTTTCCCTGAAATGACAAAGTATTTCAGGAAAAATCCACTATATTCTTGGAAGTCAATGTTTTTTATCACAGCAAGGCCTTTAACAATACATTCATTTATTTATGCTCTTCCTGTTTCCCTTAAGATTTTCACTTGTGGTGGGTTCCAATTTTTTATTTAGACTTTTGCATTGTTCCTTATAAAAGGACTATAGAAGGAATATAGAAGGTACTTGGTAAACAAAGTTTAGCAATATTAGTATCTTTCAGCTGTTACAAGAGACTGAAGATTAACGAAACCCTCTTTGTATTCAATATGCTAACATTATATATACAAATTGGATAATCCCTTATCTCAAAATCTTGGAACCACAGGCTTTCAGAATTTAAGAGTTTTTTGGATTCTAGAATATGTGCATAGACTTTACTGGTTGAACATCCTTAATCTGAATGTGAACTACCAAAGAGGTACAAAATCTAAGTTTCTGAGCATTTATGTTGGGGTTGGAGATGTAGCTCAGTGGAAAAGCACTGAAGTGTGAGGTGTGAGGGCCAGTACTGAAGAAAGCAAACAAAAACAGATTCTGTAGCAGGCATGGTGATGCATGCCTGTAATCCTAGCACTGGAAGGCTGAGGCCGGATCTCAAGTCTGAAGCCAGCTTGGGCTACATAGGTAATTCAAGTCCAACCTGGGCTACATAGTGAGACCTTGTCTCAAAAAAAAAAAAAAAAAATTCAGATTTTGGATTTTCAGATTGGGGAGGCTAAACCCGTATGTGAAGGTGTGAACTGTAATATACATGATGATATGGAATGAGTAACAATCTCTACCCTTTACTGGCAACTTCTACTTAATTCTTAATTTTTAATAAGGCAGTTTCAAACTCCAAAAGCAAATAGTTGCTCTAAAGTGTGCTGAACAGTTACATCAGCTAATCCCAGAGAGGCCTACTTCTTTCCTTCCCTTTACATCAGGCCAAGGAATGCCCCCAAGGACAATTAGTAGGTATGTAACACCTTACTAGATATTGCAGCCTAGTCTTCCGCATTCATTGTGTCACTGAGATAAAGCACTTAGTGTTTACCAAATACCAGGCTCTTCTCATAGAGCTTCACTGTTTTTACAGCATTTAATCCTCACATCAACCCTATGAGGTAGGAACTATTATTATCAACCCATTACACAGATAAGAAACCAGAGGTTACCTGACAAGCCCAAATTACACAGCATCTAAGTGGTGTAATCAGGATTCAAACACCCAGTCGGTCTGGCTCCTCAGTGCACTATGTTTTGCAGGGCCACAAAGCATTTTAAACTCCTAGATCTGAAGGCCTCTTTCTAAGAATTAGGCCCACGTACCTGAAGAACGGCAGGTAGTCAAAGGCTGTCAAGTAAGTTTAGCTTATTTAGCCATAATCTTTTGTAAATTTACCTCTAGCTCACAGTCCAATCTCTTAGCCACTTCACTCCTCCTTTTACTTAATGAGCCAGTCAAAGCAATGAGTTACGAGTTTTATATACTCATTTAAATCTTGTAGTAGCTTGGGCTGGGTGATATATCTCTGGTAGTAGAGTGCATGCTGAGCAGGAAAAGCCGTGGATGCAATCCCCAACACCACGAAAAAACAAAAACCAATAAGCCTTGCAATATGCGTACAACAGATGTTATTATTCCCATCAGATAAATGAGGGGAACCAACGCCATGAAAACCAAATAGCTCCCAACTCTGGCTGCCTCTCCCAATCTCTTGGCCCTAACCACTCAGGAGAATACAGGTCTCCAGATGCCAGGTGCTCACTGCCCACTTTGTTTCTTGACTCTTCACTCAAAATACATCATTTTGTCATGGACCCCTTAACAGGATAAAGAGGTGCTCTTGTACCATGTCATTAGAAAGTGTGAACTAAATTTAACTTTTAACACGACTTACTCTGCTTCTACAGACAAGAAATAAGACCATGTTTAGAGGTATTTTCTACCCCCGTACCAGTTTCGAAGCATTAAGTTGGCTATTGGAACCAGTACATTATGGTGCTGTCCACTGGAAACTCCCTGATGCTGCAGAATCTGAGGTCAATAATACTCCCCCACTACCTTCTCTTTCCAAATGAAGTTATAAGAAAACTAAAACTCTCTCTCAGCCAGGCATATTCCCCAGAACTTGAGAGAAAGAAAGAAAGAAAACCACAAGAAAGAAAGAAAACAAACAAAACAACCCTCTCCCTTCAAAATAAAAGATATCCTTGTGTCTGAGAAAATTTCTTTTCAGTTAATAACTTCAGCTGAATAAACCGTAAAGAGATATAAAGCAATTCAACAGTTTCCCAAATAAAGTTAACCTGACAACACAGCAAAGTTTTAAGACTAGCCAGGGGACAGGAAGCAACTATTCAAAACAAAGTGACCACTACTGTTTACTTAGATTAACCTTGGTCATTGAAAACTAGCAATTCATTCTTTTTAAAAAGGCAGTAGCATTTCCTGCAGTTTTTAACTGTCAATCAAAACCATTAATACCAACCAGGTCTTAATGGCTCACGCCAGTAATTCTAGCTATTTGGGAGGCTGAGATCTGGAGAACTGAAGTTTGAGGCCGGCCCAAGGAAATAGTTTGTGAGACCCCATTTCCAAAATAACCAGAGCAAAAGGGACTGGTGATGTGGCACAAGCTGCAGAGTGCCTGCTTTGTTAAGAGCAGTGCCGAGTTTGAACCCCCCTCCCAAAAAAATATTAATGTCAAAAAGCTTGATAATGAAATTAGTGTTAGTATTTTCTTTCACACAAACAACCAGATAAACCTGACTTACTATTTGACATATGGGATACAAATGATGCCATTGTCGTTATGCAAATAAAATACTGAATATTCACAAACAAAATCCCATATATAAAACCATTTAAAGGCTGTATTAGATCCTCTCAACCTATAGAAAAGTTAAACCACGCACACACAAGGTTTAGTATTTGTTCCATAAGATGAGAGAAGTTGAAGCTTGTAGGCAAATAGCCCAGAGCCACCAACTCAAATGAAAATGCCACTTCCTGCTAACGTGTACACTGGCATCTTCCTTTTGGATAGGAACAGTTCTCTACATGGTTGGGGGAAGGGGAGAGAAGAGTCACCTGCACATTTCTCCATCAAGTGTATGGGCTTAGAGGGTTTCCTCAAAAATATGAAGTATGCCTCCAAAAGAAAAGTCATCCTGCAATATTTAACCGTATCAAAAACAGAACAGATGATCAGGCATGTTACCTTTTTTCTCTTCATGTGTGCGCATCTTCCTCCGGAAAGTACCTTATGCTGTATCAAGTCTGGACGTTTGTTTTCTTGGCTCTCTAACAGCTGTACCTTACAAGAAAGTAAGGTGTGACACTCAGAAATGGCCTCCAAGGACTCATGCGGTCTCTTTGAGTCACAACAGCCTTTCCAGTTCTTCCCTGATGTTTGAAAAGGAGCCTTAAAATTTAAAAGGTTGTAGGGGTCATCGGAATTACAGAAAGAGTTCCACAGCTTGAGACTCTCTGCTTCATCTGCACTAGACTCCCAGTCATCTTCCTCCCCAGAACTATGGTCAGGGGTCTCAGGAAGGATTTCAGTCTGGAAAGAACCTCCTAGATCAGACCTCCCTGAGTCAGAAGGGCCTCCAGGAACAATTCTGCTAGCAGACTGGATGGTTGCTGTAAAGTTTTGGGGATTATAAGGATCTACACTGTAGAAAGAGTTCCAAAGATGAAGCCCTTCAGAGTCTTGTTCAAGGTCTGATTCTGACAGTGAGCCATCACTATCAAAACCATCGTCCTCAGCTTCCTCACCCCAATCCTCACCTTCGGAATCAGAACTTGTTTCCAGGTCACTGGATACACCTCCCAAAATGTAATCTATCAATTTGTTCCTACAAGCTGGCCTGGCAGAAACGGGAAGGTCATCCTCTATGTCTGAGGAGTCAACCACACTGACTTGGTCCTCTCCTGGCTCTTTTTCCACAGGTGTCTCGCAAGATGGCCAGCTTCCCGAAGGGTCTGGTTTTTGCAGAGCAAATGGAAGCTCTTTAATCAACAACTCTATTTTTTCCTCAGTGGGCTCCTGGGTGGTTTCAGGAATGGCTACAGCAGGGGCAACAGGCTGTGTTGGGTTACCTGTGCAGGGTTTCAGATCCATCCGCAGAAGGCTGTGCTCCTCCTCCAGGCTGTGGTAGCCATTGTCTTGGTCAGGAGTGGGTAATTCTTGGCCCTTCCTAGCCTGAAGGAATTCCAGCCGTTTCATACGAAGATGGTGGATTTCGGGCAGGCCTTCTCTGGAAAGAGGTGGACACCCCTGCCACGAGGCTGCAGAGCTCTCAGCTCGCAATGGCTGAGGATGACAACGCTCCTCAGAGGGACAGCTACTCTCTGGGGTTAGTGTCCGGAAATCAACTAGCTCGCCAGTTGCAAGGCTGCTCTGACAGTTGACCTCTAGCCGGGGCAGGCAGTCCAGGTAGGAGGGGTTCAGCACATAGGAGACTACGTTCAATTGCTGAATGTTTAAAGGCCCCGAGGGCGAAGAGCCAAGTTCTCGGTCAGAGAACAGACGGGCTTGAAGGCCACTGGGCAACAGTTCCACCCCCCACAGCTGCTGCTCCAGAAAAGTATGTGCCGCCGGGTCCAAAGGCCTCCCCTTGGCTTTAAGTTCCAATTCTAGGACTGAGGATGGGCACTGCCAGGGGATCCCCTCCTCCAGCCAATCCCGGGGGCTGGCATCCGAGTCGTCAGAGGAGCCGAGCCGCAGCGAACTCAAACATTTTTGTTTTGTGGGGGCGGCTGTTTCCTCTCCTCCCCTCAAGGCTCTCAGGTCACTGTAGCCTCCGGCGAAACCTAGCCATCTGGTCGGAATCATGCCACCGAAAAGCTGGCTCCAGATAAGCAGCTTCTGGAGCAAGTTAGGGAGCGGTGCAAGGAGCTGGGCAAGCAATTTCGCCCAATAGCTGGTCTGAGCCTCGGGCCGGGCAGAGGAGAGCAGGGTAGTGTCCCCGGAGTGTTCCGGGGCAGGACGCATCGGGAACTTGGAGGAGCTGGCTGGCGATCGCCGAGGGAAGAAGGGCAGCCGGAACCAGGAGCTCGCCCAAGGGGCGGGCCGTTTCCGCGGCCGGTGAGTCTCGGGCGCCATGGCCTTTTTTCCTGGCAGTCGGTCGGGGAGGTCCGCGGAGCTCGACGGCTGGAGATTGGACGCGAGCCGAAGGAAGCCTACACAGTCTCGGCCTTGCCCAGTGGCGGATCCCCGAGCCCGCGGAAAAGCCACAGAGGGCAGCGGCTTCGGCTGCGGAAGGCAGAGCACAGAGCAGAGCGGCCCGCGCAGGAGGCGGCGGCGGAAGCGACTTCCATCCTGGCGGCCAAGAAGACGTTCTAGTAGGCGCGCGGCCTCTCCACCATAGATAAGGACTTTCCCGGAGACACGGGGACAGTCACAAAGTCCCGGAGCAAAGCTGGGTTGGAAGGGCTTGAGTAGGCAGGCTGGAGCGAGTGGAGGCGAAGCCCAAAATGGCCGCAGGGCCGGCGCGGAGGAGGATACTCGGAAACCAGCGCTTGAGAAGTACGGCGGGCGTTTACGCCAACGAGCCCGTGCCGCCCAGCGTCATTTGCGGAGTCCCGGGGGGCGGGTCTTTCCTCATACTTCCGCGCGGCCGCTGATTGGTTGCGCTCGATGTCCCTGTCGGCTTCCTTACTCTCGGTGGAGCAGCTTGCAGGCTGGAGGTTGCATCAGCCGGGTTCTAGCTGTGCACATGCGCAGTCGGTCACTGTGGGCTCCTACGGGGACCGCGCCCTCTGCCCTCTGGGTTAAAGGCAAGGGCTTGGGGTGGTGAGAGGGTTTCAAGATAACCCGAGAATTCACCTTATATAGGCCTGACACACACCTATACTTATCTTAGACATATACAAGCCGAGATTCCAGTGAATACTGGAATGGAATATAAAGCTAAATCAACCCCAGATCTTTTTTTCCCTTCATTTTATCGTTTTTACGTTTACTTATCTGTGTATGCAGTTTGTGCCACCTCCTCCCTCTTCCCTCTGCCCCGCAACCTCAGATCTTAAACATAGGTTGGGCAGTGATGTGTAATACATGTCTGGTGTGGATGAATAATGAGGGAAAAACTCAAGTGAAAAATGAATCATTCTTAGGCATTCCTGTCCCCTCCGCCTTGGGGTTTCCTAAGTCAATAGTTGGCGTTGCCTGGGATCTAGGTTTGAAGTCTTTCAGCGTCCAGCTGACATATCCACCCAACATTAAGGAAGACTCAGTGGCGTCCCCCTATCGGAGTATTATCATGGGGCACACTGAAGTCGGGGTGAGCCCCCAAACTGTTTACTTTCTTTTATGTTTCCCACCAAGCAATACATTTAACTCATATGTACTTCCTGAACAACCAGGCCACAGGGTACATACAACCCAATGAAGGAAGCACAGTTGACCATTGTCCTTTGGGGGGAAAATGGCTGCTGATTTTAATTGATTTGATTTTCTCTTGTGACTTAGTTCTCAGTTCTTTTCTTTATTTCTGCTAAAACATTTTAATCCATGCCCCTGGAGTCAAGTGACTATTGCAGAGGAAGGGAGGGTAAATAGTTATGAGAACTAGAAAAGTTACCATAACTGGGAAGGTGGGGTGGTCAAGAGGTCAGCTGCTCCTCCGTCTTTGTTCAAGGAACAGCTACTTCACTGTAGAAAACCAGGAGGTTCTCAGTTTCTGTTGTTTACCCCATTATATTACCTAAATCTAGAAATACCTAATTTATCAATCCTAAGAACTTTAGAAAAATGTATTACTAATGCGTTTTCATAATAGAAAAAGAGATCCAAATATGCAAAATAATTACTGGAAGCCTCAGTTCCCTCAGTTGAAAAGCAAAGCTAATTTTATTAGTTTCTCTTTAAATGTGCTGGTGAGAGAACTATGCTCTATCAATACAGTGCCTTGCCCAGAGTAGAGACACAAGCATTAGCTAATATTCTCGTCCTGTTCTACTTTACAATCTTCAATTGTTTCCCATTGCCTACAGAATAAAGGGTCTATTCAGCCTGTCCTCCCACAATACTATTCAAGCCTCCTCTTCCTCCACCTCTCTCCATGCGTGTTATACTCTAGAACATTGGGCTTATTAGTGCTTCTGGTTTCATGCATTTCCTTGCAGTTTCTTGGCCAGGAAAGCCTTCATCTTTCCTGGTTATATAAATACTTATGTGTCAAGGTCCAACTCAGAGGTCAAAGTCTACTTGAAGCCTTTGCTGACCTTCCCTATCAGAATAAATTGATCCCCTGAACACTTATATAATTGTATATTGTTAGAGAATTTAATCCACTGCACTCTGTAAATGCGCCCTGCTGTTGGTCCTGGTACTCCTTCAGAGCTATAGCCTAGTAACTCGCACAGCGGTTCCCAAAGTGTGGGCTAGGCACCCTCGAGGATACTGTTTTGAAACTCTTTCAGAGGATTCTTTAAGATCAAAATATTTTCATAATAATTCTAAGCTTTTATTTTCCCTTTTCATTCTCATTTTCTCATGTGTATAATGAAGTCCTGTACAGGATACATAATGTGTGATCTGGTAGCAGATTGAATGCAAAAACAGCCAGATATTAGATTCATAACTATTTTATCTTAAGCCACATATTAAAAACATCTTTTAAAATGTACAGTGCCGTTCTTCTCAATAGGCTTTTTCTCTTTTGAAAATGATTTTTCATTAAAAAGTTATTTACGTTAACATGTAATGGGTTTACTATCGGTCTGGAAACTTTGAAAACATTTAAGAATACCTGACCTAGGTTGTTGACTGGCACAAAATAGATTCCCAATTGCTGAATGAGTGGAAGAGTAATCCTTTAAAATAATAGCATTCTCCTGTGATCAAGCCTTTTATATTCCACATCAACTTTTCCACTGAGTGACACCACATGCCCCTAAAAATATTTCTTAAAACTTCCTCGAATCTAGTCCTTGGATAGAATTTTATTCTTTCTTACTTTGGAAGTTGTTCTAAAGGGGAAAAAATGCAGTCCTAAAGCATTTGAGAGGAAAGGAACGAAGGGAGGGAGGGAGAAAATTAAGTATTTGAAACCCATGAGAATTGGAGACTTTGCCTTATAGTCTCAACTGGAAGAGGGAGAGGGTGAACCAGCCTTTCCCAGTCTGCTGTTAGCCAGAGGGAAGAGGGGCAGTCTGCACACAAAGATGACAATGAGTGGCCATAGCTACGTGCAAGCTGGTGAAGACATGAAGGCCTTGCACTGGCAAGCTGATTGGCACTTTAGCAGAAAATTAAAACTGCAGTTCATGTTTATTTGAGGTACAAGGTACATAACTTTTGCCTATTTTCCCAAGTATCCCACACTTTTGTCTACCCCCTCCTGTCTGTCTAACTCACTTGCCCGGATGTCCCTATTCAGCTACCTAAACCATGAGAAACCAAAAACCATTGACATCACTTTTTTTGTGTGTGTGACCTATCACTTTCTTCACTTCCTTCCCTATCTGGAATTAAAACTGCCCCCCTCTTTCTCTTGCCTCTTCCCTATTCCAATATTCTTCTCTGACAAAATTCCAACCCTACATAAACCTAACTATGTGTTCATTCCTTGTCTACACTCGTGCAGTGAATCCTGCTGAGAAAATCACTCAAGTATACTGACTTCCGTCACACTGTCATCAGTATGGAATACAGTCCCCTAGCAGCTCTGCTCCTCCCATGCTCCAGGATTGTGTCCCAATGCTTCCTCCTTCAAATTTCTAGCATTCTCCATAAATAAACATTTTCAACCTAGGATACATCCTGTCATAGTTCACTGAGAAAAATCCATGCAAACATAAACCACCTTATCTTATCACCACCAAATCCATCTGTATCTGGACCCACCTGCTACGCCTTCAGTCTCACTAGAAGTCAAGAAGTCTTCTGGATGACTCTCCATTCCTACTGGAGCAATCCTGGCCTCTGTTATCCCTTCTCCTCTGTAACACACAAGTTTCTCTCTCACAAATAATTTACATCTAGCATAGTTTAATATCACCTACCTTAAAAAACCCATAACTCCCAAGTTTCTGTACCACCTAAGCAAAATATCTCAAGAATTGTCTGTGTACAGTCTCTCTCTCTATCCCCCCTCCCTTCCTCGAGGGTCTTTGTAGTTCAGGCTGGCTTCCAATTTTTTTTTTTTTTTTTGCAGTACGGTGGTTTGAACTCATGGCCTACATCTTGGGCCATTCTACCAGCCCTTTTTTGTGATGAGTTTTTTGAGATAGGGTCTTGCAAACTATTTGTCCGGACTAGCTTTGAACCAAGATCCTCTTGATCTCTGCCTCCTGAGTAGCTAGAATTACAGGCATGAGCCACTGGTCCCTGGCTTTTATTTTCTTATTCAAATATTTTCTATCCTTCTTTTGGTTGGAGCCATGGGCATGGAACCCACAGATA